ATTAATAAAAAAAAATAACATTGCCTTAATTATTAGCTCCAGTGCTTATAAATCATTTAAATATATGTATTTCAGTTTAAAGATAGGGTTTCTGTTCTTTAATAGTTGGATTACAGAGTTAGTCAAACGATTGCAAACCAAATCTGCTGAAATTCTCCCTTGCGCACAATCCTTAAAGATGGGGGAATCCCAATTTCTTGTTTATGTATTTATTTAAAGCAGTTATAGTTTCTGTTCGGCCAGCATAAAAATATATTACAAATTAGGGTATAAAATAACAGAAGAAGTTATTTACTTTATGGAGCTACCATAAAAGAGCTGATTTAAAAGACCTAAAGAACAATCCTGTGAATTTTTTTTTTTTTTTACAAAGAAACTGACATCAATTTTGTAGCCTCTGATCACTTAAATTGGGTGCTTCTTTTCAAATTGCAGACATAGCAGCATAGGAAACCAGTTAGAAAATGAATTTTTTCAGCAAGGTAATTTCTGCTACCATTTTGTTTTAATGTATTCATTAGGATCGCAACATGATACTTGGAAAACATGGGTTCTTTGTTAATCCTTCAGACTCGGTTGCTGTTATTGCTGCAAATATTTTTAGTATTCCTTATTTTCAACAAACGGGGGTTCGAGGATTTGCCCGAAGTATGCCTACGAGTGGAGCAATTGACAGGTAGATTTTTTAAACAGGTGGAATAGCTGGGGCTGAGCGACAGGATCATGAGTGGTCCTATCTTTTCCTATCTATCTATCAGGAATATCTGTAACATCTGAGTATAATAGAATAGAATTTCTTTTTTAAAAAAATTATATTTATTGAAAATTTTCATACAATAATAGCAAGCCAAAAGGAAAAAGGAAAAAACAGAAAGTGCAAGAAAAGAAAAAGAAAACAAAGGTTAAGAAACATACAGATGACTTCTGACCTTCTTTTCAATAGATAATTACAGTCTTATTGTCCGTCCTCCCTCTTAAGTATTTTACAAGTCCCTTCACTCCTTCATTTAGTCTTCATATTCCTTAGTCTTCAAATCCATAAATCATCTATTTATTTTTTCTTCTTTCAGCAAAAAGTCCATATAAGGCTTCCGGTCTTTCAAAAAAGTTGTTGTTTATTCTCTGACCAAACAGGTCAGTTTCGCCGTTTTTCCAAATTCTGACATTTTTACAATCCACTCCTCCACTGTGGGAATTTCATTATTCTTCCATCGCCAAGTATAATTTCTGTTCACAGAAATAAATATGTTTTAATAGCATCTCTAATCTCTGTATTTAGATATTTTTAGAGCATTTCACTGGCATTGAACTTCCCTGCCAGAGTAAAGTGCAGGTGACTACAGGTGATTTCTGGGCAACTGAAATGCAGATTCTGTTCAATATATGAGAGTGGAATAAAAGTAGAAAGCGTCAGACAAGTGAGATGAGGAAATGTATAAAGAAAGAAGAGATGCAGTTGGAGCATGTTATGGGAAGGAAGAGAAGAGAGGAGACAGAAGAAGAGAAGAGAAGAGATAGGGGATAATTGAAAATAGGATAGCTAGTTATGCCTGAATTGTAGAGTAAGTTGCTGAATGAAATTGGTAAATGAGAAGATTTGGATTTTTTGAAGGCTCCTATTTTGCAGCAGGCCATTGAACAAGAGTTTTTTTCTAGAGTTTAGTAAAAAGAGAACTTTGAATGTGTGGTTTGCATGCTTCAGGAACTAGCTGTATGTTTTAACATCTATTATTCCCTGGGATGCTTTTAGGAATTTTCCAGATGTGTGGCTAATTTTCCAGATGTGTGGCTAACTAGCTGAGATCAGACAAAGCAAGAGTGTGGTCATAAAGACCTCTCTTGACACCTGTCAGATTGCCTGCCCCCTCTGGCTTTTAAAAAGTACAATTTTCCATTTTAAAAAAAGGAAGCAATATGTCACAAGCTGGCAGTTTGTAGCATCATCTTTATTAATAGGAATATCTTTAACACTCACTAAGGCGTTCTTATAAAATGGGGTGAGGCTTCCAGAGGAAGAAATGACAGACTGAAGATAGCTCCACGAAAAGCGGAGCTGACGACCGCAGCGGAATGAAGAGCTGGTGAGTAGACCAAATCTTCAGTAATTCCTCTCTGGATAAGGAGAGGACCTGAGAATGTCCACAAGTGCTCCAGACATCTGCTCTTCATGAGACTGCAAGATAGTGGTCTCTGGCAGGTTTATTGCTCTGGGAGATGAGGGAATAGCCATTTTCCTGAAACTGCTGTTGGTGCCTTTGAAAGAACGTTAAGTTCGCATACTTCCTTTTCTAATCACTTTCAGAAATTGCTTGTTAACTGCTTTTCAGCTATCAGAAATCTTTGGATTGACAAGTTTGACAGCACTGGGTGAGTTTCCTTCAGTCCTTAGTGAAGGAAAGTTTTAACTACAAGTTGAAGAACTTAAAAAAAATTGGGGGGGGAATAAATAGTAAAAGGGTGATTAGAACTTTGATTTTAGAAAGTTACAAATGGACTAAGGGTCCAGATAAATTTGAAATACGATTTTGGAATTAATTATAAAGAATCCTTCCCATGGGAAAATGCTTCTGTTTTGAATTTTTTTAAAAAAGCATAGGATACATTTTAAAAATTGGACACTAGATGGAGCTAGAGGGAACTAAAATTACAATTAAAGGAGAAGAACGCATAAACTCAACTTACAGTTACAGAATGAAGCCAAATATTCTAACATTGGGTATATTGAAGGATATTTTTGAACAGTGGACTCAGAAGTTAATTTTAATAGTGTCAACAAGACTCTCTATGGAGAGACTGTCTCTAAAAGATGTTATGGAAGAGGAACAAGTTCTACCTGACAAGATTGAGACTGAGTTGAAAGTGAATTTACAAATGACAGGCTACAAGAATGAAATAGAAAAAGATGTTATACTGGACA